CAGATACATTATACAGCAAGACTTTTGATTGTACATATTCTGCTTTTGAAATAAAACGCCTTTGTGCTATATAACTATGTTATAATATGTTTTAATCCTTGCACACAGTGTTCATTCCTGCATATATTGGCATTGTACACAGGTACCTCATAAACAATTATTTTATTATGTATACCACATGTACACTGTATACTTGGCACATGTTACTCGATGTATGTGTGTATAGATAGATAGATAGATAGATCTTATTCTGAAATGAGTGTGAAGTTACCCTACAAAATCAAGTGTGGGTAAAATACTACCCTAACTTTGCCATTTTATGTTTTATTCATAACCATTTTGAATTACTTTGTTAATAGGGTTGCTATGGAAACAGACCTTTTTGGCTAGATATTTACAGTACAGTGCACCATGGAAAGACCGACTGTTTCCTCAGACCTGTTAGGGATCATTGAGTTTATGTGATGCCAGGAAATGTACTCCGCTAGTGTGTAATCACCAAAACCAAACTCTGAGGGGAACCATACTGGTGGGAACCTGCACTGCTGTTTTATATATTTTGGCCACAACCCATGTGATAGTGAAGGAGGTGTAGAAGTGAAGGCCTTTGCTTTGTGAGGAAACACTGAGGAGTTTAAAATGTAAAGCTGGTATTGTTTATGGAATGAAAAGATTTCAAAAAACGTCACAGTTTTTAATATAATTATATAATATACACTGCATAAAGACATTCAAAAGCCTGGATATATTACAATATACTATTCATACAGTATATCGAGTACTTCACTGTTATAGCTGCTTCTCACATGTTGCAGTTTAAGCACAACAATATGCTGTGCAAACATCTTGTAATTCAATGGAAAACTAAAAACTGAAAAAAAAATGCATATCTCAAGAAACCTACACTAAGCAAGAGCACTTTTATAGACTGCATCACTGGCAGGGACAAAGCAGCCCACAGGAGGGAGGTGGGCGGTCTGGGGTTATGGTGCAAGGACAATAATCTTCATCACTGTCTAGTATGGCAGCACTACTGCTATGAACCGCAAGCGCCTGCAGAGAGTGGTAAAGACTGGAGAAGATCACCAGGACTCC